GGTTGTTCCACTGGTTAATTGTTCTAACCATCAGGAAGTTTCTCCTTAGTTCTAGATTGCTTCTCTCCTTGATTAGTTTCCATCCGTTGCTTCTTGTCCTGCCTCCAGGCACTTTGGAAAATAGCTTGACTCCCTCTTCTTTGTGGCAGCCCCTGAGATACTGGAACACTGCTATCATGTCCCCCCTCGTCCTTCTCTTCGTTAAACTAGACATGCCCAATTCCAGCAATCACTCCTTATATGCTTTAGCCTCCAGTCCCCTAATTATCTTTGATGCTCTGTACTCTTTCTAGAGTCTCAAAATCTTTTTTACATCATGGTGACCAAAACTGGATACAATATTCCAAGTGTGGCCTTAAATAAGGAGACAGCATCAGCTGATCCTTTTTGCCAACTAAGTAACTACCTTAGTTACTAAGTAATGGAGAGAAATACAGAATAGACCTGCCTCAACATCCAAATCGAAAGCTGATATAAAATGATGGTGATATTACCCTTAAAGCAGTGGTTCTCAACCTTTTTAATGCCGCAACCCCAACCGGTTGTAAGTCGAGGACTACCCAACCGGTCGTAAGTCGAGGACTACCCAACTAGTCGTAGGTCGAGGACTTTCCCTGCCCGGGAGCGCCGCGCATGTGTGGTGCCGCCCCCTGTGCCGGCCGAGGCGTAGCTGGCAAGCGGCAGAGATGGCGCAGGCCGACCACCGGCTGGGCCACCAACTGGCCCAGCCCAAGGGAGGTAAGGCACCCACTGGGCCCCACACGCACCAGCAACCCTCCCTGGGCCCGCCGGCCTCCCACCTCCCACCCCTGGCCCTCTTTTTACTTACATTTTTAGTAGTTGCTCAGCAGGAAGGGGTGGAAACTTCCAGACAGCTCGCCTTCGCTGCAGACAACTTGCAGCACCATTTGCGGAATGGGACTTTTGGCGGGCTCAGCAGGGCAGAGACCGCCTGGACAATTCCTATTGGCTTTGGAAAGCCAATAGAATTAGACTCTATTCAAGAGAGTCTATTCTATTGGCTTTCAAAAGCCAATAGAATAAAAGGGAGTAGCACGGCTAAGGAAAAGGGGGGAAAAAATGGCGGACTGCGTTGTTTGGTGACCCCCGTGAAATGGTCGTTCGACCCCAAATGGGGTCCCGACCCACAGGTGGAGAACCGCTGCCTTAAAGGAATAGACAGGTGCTTCCTGCAGCCCACAGAACAGGACCTCTGCTTTCTCTCTCATCAGAGAAAGGAAGGGGGGAAAAAAACCCTGTCCAGCTAGGAATCTGCGTAGAGGAAAGGTTAAACCTTTCTCTGAATGCTGAAGACCTGATGCAAATCAACGAGTGCCTCTACAGATGGATGGATTTATAATTGGCTTTTGGAAGCCGTGACATGATGAGAAACCCTGGCAGGATGTTATTGGACGAGTAAATCCATCTTCGTCTTGGCTCTACGGTGGCCATGAGATGCCTTACCGAGCTGAATGCTAACGAAGCCTTTGCTTGCTGACATTTAAAAATGAAATTAGAAAGGATAAATCTCTAGGTGCCTTTGACAGGGAATACGGCACCCTCTCTGCCGTAGAGGAGAAAGGAACACAATTCGGGCTTCTATTAGCATCTAGGCCTGACATCCTCTTTATCCAAAGGCTGTGTGTTTCCTGGAAGGAAGGGGTCCTGCAAATTGGAGGGGGAGGGGAACAATACTGCATCCAGTTTGGGTCACCACGATGTAAAAAAGATATTGAGACTCTGGAAAGAGTGCAGAGAAGAGCAACAAAGGTGATCAGCTAAAACATACAAGGAACGGTTGCTGGAATTAGGTTATGTCTGGTTTAATGGAGAGAAAGACCAGAGGTGACAGGATAGCATTGTTTCTGTATCTCAGGGGCTGCCCCAAAGAAGAGGAAGTCAAGCTCTTCTCCAAAGCGCCTGAAGGCAGGACAAGAAGCAACGGATGGAAACTCATCAAGGAGAGAAACAACCTAGAACTAAGGAGAAACTTCCTGACAGTGAGGACAATTAACCAGTGGAACAACCTGCCTCCAGAAGCTGTGGGTGCTCCATCACTGGAAGCTTTTAAGAAGAGACTGGACAGCCATTTGTCCGAAATGGTATAGGGTTTCCTGCCTGAGCAGGGGGTTGGACTAGATCAGGGCTTTTCAACCGGTGGTACGCGTACCACTTGTGGCAGGTGGTACGCAGCCCTGCTAGCCAAGTGTAGTGGGGGAGGGAAAGAGCCAGCGCAGGCAAGGACTTACTGTGAGAGAGTCCTCTGGAGCTGCAGAGTGGCTGGGGCTGAGCCTCCCCCTTGAGAAAGGAGGAGGAGGGGGCGGAGACAGGAGAAGCTATAAAAGGAGGCAGTTTGGCTGGGAGAGGGGGAAAAAAAACGATGTGGAGTCAGCTCTAGCTGCACTGAAGAGGAAGGGGGGGGGAGAGGAGAGGAGATCAAGGAGTCCAAGCAGGCCGGCCATGAGCCGATCTACAACTTCTGTGGCAGCCACCTGTGCTGGCATGCTGCAATGGTCATAAGTGTGAAAAATGGTCATAAGTCATTTCAGTGCCATTGCAACTTTGAACAGGTTTTTTTTTTTTTTTGGTCATCAAGTTTTTGACACCTTGCTAGGTGGTACTCAAATATTGCCATAGGCTTAAAGTGGTACAGTCAGTGAAAAGGTTGAAAATCCCTGGACTAGATGACCTCCAAGGTCCCTTCCAACTTTATTATTATTATAACCTGTGGGAATATTTCAGAAATGAAGAGACTGAGAGGCTTCCTGCCTCCTCTAGCATCATTGAACTGTACAGGTCTATAAAAAATGCAAAGCCTATATCCCTAAGACACTGCAGATTCTGGTCCATTTCCACTGCACACCACCAATTTTTTGATTGCAAACTGTAAAAACAACGCTTTGTGGTTCCCCCATGGTCTTTAAACAAAAAAATCTAATACCCTTAAGATTGAACAATATTTTTCTTTTTTTTTTACCCTTGGGGGAAAAAGTTTCTCTTTAACATTTTTTTTTTGAGAAAGCTTTTGTATTCAGAGAATAAATCATAATATATATATATTTTTGGGAGCATAACACTTGCAATAAATCGTTTGGGATATATAAAATATCCATTAGTAACAAATAAGTGATTAATTGGGTAGCCTTTGAATGCGGATCCCCATCCGTGCAGAACTTAATCTTTATACATGTTTCAAAAGTCCCCAAAGTATACTGCAATATTTCATCTTGTCATAGTATCACCTGAGGAGGTCATTTGGGGGCTTAAGAAGTATTCTTTAGTGTTTGGATACAAGGAGGAGATCCAGGTATAACTGCAACGGTGGCTTTTGCAGTTGAGTCTTCTCTATTAATAACACTTTCTGTGCATCAGCTGTTTAGCTTAAACCAAGGCTCAAGATTCTGCTGATGGAAAAGTATATTGGGGTTATTTTTCTCCTTGTTAGGAATTTTTTTTGTATTTTATCAATACTGTCCGTTGGAACAAATTACAAATGGTCACTTAGCAAGCATTCCAAGTTACAACGGACCCCCCCCCCCCAAAGAGGGGACTTGCAACCAAGATCCAAAGTTTTGATGGTCCTCCATCCATGATGACATTACCGTACTTTGGGTGCTTGGCAACGGGGCCACATTCCTGGATGATGGTAGTGTCCTGTGGTCACATGACAACATTTTATGACGATTTTGCCCCAAATTGCCACTTGCTTCTGGTTTTCATCAAAACCGCACCCATAGTCAACCATGAGTTTGAGTAACAACTCCAGTGTTTATGACCATCACACACAAAAAGGTCATAAAATTGGGTTGGTCATGTATCCAACTCATTTTACAACCATTACTCCGTTAAAGACGAAACTTGAGGGTTTCCTGTAATTTACTTTGAGCAATTCGGTATTTAAACTTCCAGCTTTCCAAGAAAAGATTGAAATTAGTCATTAAATGGTGATTGGAATATCAATATTCTGCTGCTTCTGAAATTACTCTTAGGGAGTGTTTCTCAACCTTGACAATTTTAAGGCATGTGGACTTCAACTCCCAGAATTTCACAGCCAGCGTTGCTGGCTGTGGAATTCTGGGAGTTGAAGTCCACATGCCTTAAAATTGTCAAGGTTGAGAAACACTGCTTTAGGGAAGAAGAGGGTTTACTGCTGTTTACCTCCAGTTTACTGCTACTTTTTAAGGGCAAGTGCCCTTCTCCTGGCGAGTTTTAATGAAGCCCCCCCAATTTCACAGCAAAACTCTTAGCAAGGTTGTCCCAAAGGAGCTTTTCCAGAAGGCAAAGGGCTTTCTCGATTTTTTTTCCCTGAAAACTTTTTGCTCCTCATCCAAGAAGCTTCTTCAGTTTTGCAGAATGAACTGAACTTCGATTCTGTAAAATGAACTGCCGAAGACGCTTCTTGGATGAGAAATGAAACATTTTCAAGGGGGGTGGGGGGAAACACCAAGCAAGGTCTAGTTTGCCTTTTGGAAAAGAACAAAAAAAAAAGCTCCTTTGGAACAACCTGGATGGCTGAGAATCTCCACAGACACTAGCATGGCTATCTGCACAGAAACCAAATTGCAACAGCATAGCAAGCAACTGCCATACGTTTAATTGCCACACATGGACATATAGGAATACTTTTCAACACACACATACAAAATAACCCCTCCAAAAACTAGAAAAAGCTCTCCAAAAATATTTTGCTTACTTTGCAAGTCAACATTGGCCATCCAGATGCTTCAGAAGCAGATGGAAAAGCAAAATCTTCCTGTCGTTTGTCCAGAGCTGCTAACACTAAGCGCCTCTAAAGTTTTGATAGATCCTGAAAGCACCAATTCCCCTTTTGCAGCTATTAACGCCTGCAGTGATTGGTCCTGAGGGAAGTATAACTTAATTGTGCAATAAATAAAGTGCTTCATTTTTTTCAGTCCAAAACCTGCCACCGAACCAACACAGGGCATCAAGCAAACTGGGACAGATACTCCAATTACATCATCTGCGGCAATAGATAAATACTTAGTGCCATTTCAGCAATTTATTTAGACATGTTTAACAGCAGGGTCAGAAAGATCTAAGGCTGGTTATACAAGGGTATTATTTTAAACCATCTTCTTCTGCCTTTCTTGTAACACTACTACGATGACTTCACTGACCAGTTGAAAAACGATTATTCAGATACCAACAAACATCACAAGTGCCATGATTGTTTTTTTAAAAATAAATGGATCTAACGGTGAAAGTGCCACTCTTCAGCAGTGACTGAATGTGTTCCGTTTCCATTAACTCTAGCGAACATCGAAGAATTGTCTTTCTCTTTTTACTCTGCTCCATTAAGAAATATTCAGCAGAAATCTTCCAGTGAAAGAGAAAGTTTTGTTTGCAAGCAGCTGTTTCCATCCGTAAAAGCCAAACTGGCACCTGGTATTGGCCAATTATCCCTGTTAACATTTTTCCCATGCAACCCAGGAAATTTGCTCTCCACATTTCTCATAGAGCAGACCCACAAATATACAGGCTTAGGGACACAAGTTTCTTTTCCGTATTTTTGCGCAATCGAGCACAAGACATGGCAAAGTCTTTTATTCAGCCGCTGTGGTGTACGAGGGAACCAACCACACCAGAGGGCATAAAAGAAGCAAAGATCCAAACTTGGAATGAAGAACGGAGTCCCGAATCAGGGAAAACGTCTACAGTATTTCCGCCCCAGCAAGGAATAACTGTTCATTTTTTTTAATGGTCCTTCCATGCCCCCCAATAAAATCCTGACCTTCTTCTGAAACAAACACCCCCAGGAGAAGGTCCTTCTGAGTTGTGGCAAGTTTATTCTGCAGCTTTAGGAGCTAGGCAGTAACGCCCTACTCTACTCATATCCTCAACAGCTTAGTACTCCAAACACGGAGTTTTCTGTAAGAAGACTGCACAGAGTAACTTGAGAATTTTAGCATGTTTACAACAACTGCCCCCATTTATGCTTTCCTTCCTCTACAGCGATTTCAAAGCCATCAGAGGGAGATTTTATTTGTTACACTAAAGGGCTTTTCCAGCAATGATTTCATAAAGTCGCATTTAGGACATTAGAACAGCTTCAATATTAGATGCAATTCAGCAGTCACTTGGCAACGACCAAGATGTAAAGGCCAATTGTCACTCCGGGGACAGAGGTCTACTTGAAAGAAAATGTGCATTTTATTATAAATCCAAAGAACTGGTCTCCAGTTAGAACTATCAAGTGTCCTGCTTAAGGGGTACCCCCCCATAACAAAATCCAGGCTTCCAGGCCAAAATTAGTGACAATTTACTTTTAAATTATTAACTCTTCAAATTTTTCAGTTATCAATTTTCTGAAATCAATAATACAAAACGAAAAAGAGTTACAGCTCAAGAGATCCAAAATGGATTTTTTCCTACTTTCAACTTCTTACTAATAATCAGGTAAATGACTCAGAACACATTTTCATCCTTGTGCACAAAATAGGCTGATAGAAAGCACAGTACGTTTGACCCACTACATAAAAAGAATTACAAAAAGGTAACCAGGAAAAGGAAAGTTTTTACATCCAAATTCACAAAAGTCCACTTGTATAACATTAACATTGTATTTGATCCATCAAGCTACCAAATTATGTTTTAATAATTGAAATTAGTATAGAACATGTCAATTCCAAAAAGTGCATGAAACTCACAATGCACAAGAAGTCAGAATAGAAACTGTTCCAAATCTAGTTATACAAGGTACATTAAGAACGCAAGTTCTACAGCTGTAGAAAAATGCTTATACACACTACTTGTTGGAAAAACAGAAAAATAAAACAAAAACGGTATCTGAAAAATCAGCGTAGGCTTGTAAAAAGGTCTCTTTTCTGGGACCATCATAGATTATTGGCAGGCTGTTGAGAGAAAAGCAGGACAATTAGTAAAGATTGCCAGAAGAAATACAACCTTTCACTTAGGAATTTTAGTATCTTGCACACTCCTAAATAAAAACAAGGGTGGCATTTAACTCATCCAGGCACTTAAAAAGCACTGCTACTACATATTGACACTTCTAGGCCCATTTATTTTTACCTTTAAGCAGGCACAGCTCCTTACTTTTACCTCCTCTTATAAGCAAATAAAACAAATAGATAGCCCTTGACTTATGAGTGCAACTGAACCTGGCAATTATAGTCCTAACTTGTTACAATTGTAAAGTATGTCCTGATGGAATGTGTTTTTACAATCTTTTCTGCAAATGGTTGTTAAGCAAACGCCACCTTTGTTAAGCGAATCCATTGGTGGGTGCTGCAAATGGCCATAAATGAGCGCCAATTCTTGAGCGCCCAAAATGCAGGCATGTGACCATGGGACAATATTATAACTTTGAAACTGGGTCATAAGTAGCTTTTGGGGGGGGGGCGTCTGTTGCAACTTACGGTAACTGTACTGTTACTATAGTACTGTTACTATCTGTATGGCATCACATGGAGGATTAGGGCCTATTTATTTATTCAATTTCTATGCCGCCCTTCTCCCCTCCAAGGTGACTCTGGGCAACGTCCAAATTATAAAAGCAGATGAAAAATAATGAAAGGATTGAAGATCCCAATCCAGCAGCTGAGAGCCTCTGTCTCTGTCACCCCACCATATTTAATCCGCAAGCCCACTGGATCACTGCAGAGTCAAGCTCACATGAAGTCTTGGTAGTGGCTGCCTTGTTTTCTCCTCCTTCCAGTTCCTCCACTCCGGCCTGGGTCATGAGATCCGCAATGTTTTTCTCCAGGTCGTCGATGCGGCAACTCATGTCATCGAGTACAACTGAGTTAAGCAAAACCACCTAGAGAAAATGCAACTGAAGCAAAACCATCTTCTGATCTTAGCTAGAGGGTCACAGCAGACATCCCCGATCCTGTGACTGCCATTTGCAACCTTCCCAGCTAACTCTTAGCAACAGGGAAGCCAGAGAAAGTCATAAGGCATTGCACTAAAATGACACACAGTGATTCGCTTAACCTCACCCAGCAGTGACATTGTAAGTCAGCGTGTCACTCTGTTAATGACCATGCTGCTAAGTGATGGATTTGCCATTCCCTACTGCAGTTGTTAAGCGAGGAGCACCTACACATACACAGCAAGTTTCTTGGGTTTACATGCATTACTTAAGTGGAGAAAGTGTCTTGACATTTGCACACTGACTGATAAAAGTTGTGCAAACTCTGGACAGCCCGTTTGGAACGTGGGATCGGGGACGCTGACTTTGCATCCTCTCCTAATGCCGGAGAGGACTTTACAGAGAGGCAGAATCAAACAGAGGCGCAGCGTGACATTGTTCCCATGCAACTGTCAGGCGGCTGTGCAGCTTTTCTTCAGTGGGGTCTCCCCACACATTGGGGGAGGGATGTGTGTCTGGCCCAACCAAAACCCTTCAGGTCTTCTTTGCTTCTTCGCATCCCAAACCTCTCCTCTTCTATTTCCACGCTCAAAAGGATATTCCTGCCGATGATTTGGTCAGACATGGTCTGGAACTTGTCCTGCATTTGCTGCAGGAGGGTCTGCACCTGATGGGAGGGGGGGGAGAAAAACAGTTTTTTTTAAAGCAAGGAGGTTGCTTCAAACCCACCCACCCCAATTATAAAATGCCACTGGGTCTAAGTGGCTTCCCTTGCAAGTGGGAGGCCTGGCCCAAACTCTGGGGCAAAAGACCACCTTGAAGCCCCCTCCCAGGTGAAGGGCGACCTTGGAGAAAGGCAGGGGCCGCATTCTCACAGTCCGCATTAACCCACAGCCCGCATTAACTCGAGTTGGTCGTGTGAACGTAACCCCTTGGCTAAATCGACACGCTCTTGGGAAGCTCCCGTTTCCACGGCAACCGAGGCCGCCCGCCCCCGAAGCGCATCGCCTCCCGCTGTATCCAGGGCGACCCCCCAACGGCCGCGCCCGGCTCCCTAGCAACGCGGCCACCGCCCTTTCCCGTCTCCATGGCAACCCCAGCGGTCCTCCCGCCCACCCCCCCCCAGGCTCCCCAGGCCGCTTCTCCGCCCCCACCGAGCCCGCTCACCACGGCGGTGAGGTCCTGCACGGTCTTAGGGTCCGTCTCCGCCATGTCGCTCCGCTGCGGCTGCCGCACCTCCCGGTCACCCGTCCAGGCCCGACTCCCAGGCGCTTCTGGCCTCCTCCGCGAGAACGCCGGCCCAGCCGCGGCTTCTCGCCAAGTCTCGCGAGAGCGAGTCGCGAGAGCTGCATTGTGGGAAATGAAGTGCTGCCCGGTCGGGAACCCTCGCAGCCCCTTCGGCGTTCTTCACTGACCGGGGAAGCCTAAAGACCTGAACTCCGGTCCCGCTGTGTCTGGGGATGATGTGAATTGTAATCCCAGCGAGGAGTTCCGCCTTGAACAAGCGGCGGGGGCGCTCTAGCCCCTGCATCTCTATTGCACCGGCCCAGAGACCGGAAGTGTCCTTTCAGAAGCGCGACTCTGCTATGAAGCAATGCTGTCGCATGACTAGACGGTTGCATTCTGGGAAATGTAGTTTCAGTTTGGGCAAACTGCACGCAGAGGGCCTTTGCCTCCCATCAAACTTGCAAAGGGAAGACTGTTAGACTGCAATGACCATGGTGCCCTGCCAGGAGAATTTTTGACCCTGTTCTTCCGGAGTTCCAAGCAGAACTCTTGTTGTGAACTACAGCTCCCATCAACCCGTCAACATAGAAAGAGAATGAGATTATGGGAATTGTAGTCCACAGTCTTTTCCCTTCCAGACTGTAACCCAACCTTGAGCAATTTTATATATCAAAGAGATTGCCTGGTTGAGCTAGCTTGGCAATACATTTAAATATAAAAAGGCATTCAGCTCTGTGTATATGTGTATGTATATATAAAATTAGACTTTTATATACACACACAGACACATGGGCTTTTTTTGTCATAGAACTCCCAGAACGGAGTTCCGGCACCTTTTTTGGATGGAACCTTGTAGGGTAGGCAAGGTGGATTGTATGTGTCAGTTCCGGCACCTTTTTTTTATTATAAAAAAAGCACTGTGTACATGTAAGTGTATACATATATGTATATATAAATATAAAATGCAGAATAAAAAATAATATGGTTCTAGCTGCATGAAAATCAGGAGGATGAATACGTTTGTGTGGAGAAAATAATGTAGTTAGTTACTTCCAATCTAAGGGATACATTAAAGCTCAACTAATAAACTTTCAAACTATGATGCTTGAAAGCAGTCCATGTTTATTTAGGCCGGACCACCCAAGTGTAAACACTTCATTCTGTTGTATATTTTGAGGTCAAACATAGATGTAAAAAGAAACAATTGCAGTGGAAGAATTTGGGGAAAAGATTACCAGAAGCTGGCAGAAAACTACTCTGAATACATGCTCTGTTTCTTAAAATTGTTTCTTTCTACATCCCTTCCCAGTTTTAAAAATTATGAAGGACCCTAAAAGAGTTGTTTTTTTGTGTGTGTGTGGGCTGTATTTATCAATAGTTACTGTACCAAAAATGAAAACTGTTAAAATGTGGTAACTTTTTGCTTCCTTTTTGTAAAATGTGCTTATTGTCATTTCCTTTGACTGGTGATATGCCCAAAGAAAACATTCCTTGTTTTAAGACTTTATTGTGCTCATTGTTCCTCCATGACATCATCTTGGAAGTAATAAACCTGAGAAACAAATTGTCAAAACTGCATTCTTTTCAAATTTGGGGAATGGTCCAAACTCACATAAAGAATCTCACTGGTATAATAGTCCATTCAGACTGAGACAACGACAAATCTCATATGTTTTCCATTGTTGTGCCGAATGCACCCTGACTTGTCACAATGTTCTGATTTTATTTTATTTTATCTTGTTTGTTAAATTTAAATGCCACCCACCTCACTCTGCAAAACAATTCTGGGCTCCTTAAATCTGGCTCAGTGTTTGCAATGCTGATCGCCTTGATTTTTGGACAAGCATGGATGAACCAAGCCATTTGTGGCTTATTCACTAAACCCTGGTCAAGAAAAACACGACTTAGAAAAAGTGTGAAGCCAGTCCCCTTCTAACTTAAGTTTACCACACTTGGGAAACTGTTCCATTTACTCTGTGCTAGACCAAGCTATCGGAGGATGAAGCAAAGTCTTTTATAAAGGGTGTTTGTTTCTTAAGAATTGCAAATAAAAATGGTCATTAACTGCACTCAGAAGATATCATATTATTACTTCCCAAGCCGCTGGAGCTCTAGATAAAGGAAAAAAGCACACACACGCTGTGTTAACTCACTGGCTAATACATTCACACACTAGTTCCTCCAAATGTCACTTAGCACTGCCCTCTTCATTTAAGATATTTCAGCAAGGCACATCATCCATATGTATGATTTCCAAGTATTCTGCAATGTCAAAAACCAAGAAAGATAAATGGGGATGGGGAAGAAGAGAGAGAGAGAGAGAGAGAGAGAGAGAGAGCTAAGAAGAAGTTTCCTACTAGTGAGAACAATCAACCAATGGAACGGCTCACCTCCCAAAATTATGGATGCTCCATCACTGGAGACTTTTAAGAGACTGGAGAGCTTTTTGTCTGAAAAGGGTCTCCTGCTTGAGCAGGGATTGGACTAGAAGACCTTCCAGATCCCTTCCAACTCTGTTATTCTATGTTCTAAGATGTTTGGGGCAGACTTTCATATAAATATGAAATGGCCGCAAGAACATTATCCAAAGGGATATTATTACGAAGCAACAGCTCCTGGCACTCTGGACCTGGCTCTTTTGTAAATATATAGCTTCAAAATGAGAAAGGGAAAAAAAAATATTTTTTGGATGAAAACCAAAAATAATTTGACTATAAAGCCAAAAATAATTAATTGGCTGTGTGTAACAGACTGGGAAACAGCCGGTTTGCCCTATGGATAATGTGTTTGGAAAGCAAGCGTCTGGATTTTTGTTTTAGGCCTGCTGAGCAGGCTAAAACTAACGACTATCGAAATCCGACTTCCTTTGTTACAGCTTTCTCTCCATCCTCCCTTCCCCCCCCCCCAGCGATGGATGGCAAGGTTAGAGGATGTCATGAAAAGTTATTGGAGCGGAGAAAGTTTTCTCATGCCTAATGACATCAAGCAGAATGTAGAACCCGTTGGCAGACTAATTAAAGAGAGGCACTCGGGGCCCAGGGAAGTTATTCCAGATGATTTCGCTCGTCTGGGGCGGCAAAAAGCGGAGAGTCCTCCGAAGTTGGTCACAAGGTTCTTTTCTACCACAAGGTGTGTGATTGGGGTTGGCGTGGAAGCGATCACAACACAAAAAAAAGATGTTGAAGGGGTCAGCTTGCAGGGGTGTGGGAGGAGATCTGATAAACAGCTTCAGAAATGTGCACGTTTTCAAAAGTAGCACGAGGAAGCATATGTTTGCAAGAAATATATAGAAAATACAGGGTTTTTATGTATCTTTCAGCCATCGGTATCACCAAGTTAAGATGGGCAGCCTATTAAATGTTGTCTGTCTGTCTGTCTATCTACATATTCCATTCCTCTATCTATCTATCTATCTATCTATCTATCTATCTATCTGTCTGTCTGTCTGTCTGTCTGTCTGTCTGTCTGTCTGTCTGTCGATCGGTCTGTCTGTCTGTCTTTCTATCTATCATCTGTCTATCTATCTATCTATCTATCTATCTATCTATCTATCTATCTATCTACCTCTTTACCTTTCTATCTCTATCTATCTACTTCTCATCTCTATGTCTGTGTCTGTTTTTCTATGTATCATCTGTCTATCTATCTATCTATCTTTCTATCATCTGTCTATCTTTCTATCTATCCATTTATCTATTTCTCTCCCTCCCTATCTATTCCTCCCCATCCCTCTATCTATCACTCTGTTCCATCCCTCCGTTATCTTTCTTTCCTTCCTTCCTTCCTTCCTTCCTTCCTTCCTTCCTTCCTTCCTTCCTTCCTTCCTTCCTTCCTTTCTCTCTCTCTCTCTCTTTCTTTCTTTCTTTCTATCTATCATCTGTCTATCTATCTATCTATCTATCTATCTATCTATCTATCTATCTATCTATCTCCAATACTTACAAATGAATGCCTTCATCTAGAGTTTGGCAATTGATGCTATTTCTTGCTTTCTAAAAATGGGAAGTCTGCTCCAAATTAGATTTCTTTTAAAATCATAAGGACAGCTGAATTAATGCATTTTAAAGTGAATTTCAGTGGCTTGCTCCAAAAACTGTGGGCTGCAAAGAGAACTTCGGGATGTGTCAACATAATTAAAGCCCGAATCTTTGGTCTCGCTTCTCTGACAGCAATTAGTCCTGCCAAAAAGTATCTCCTTGATGCTTAACAATTGTAATAGGATTTGGTTCTTGTGTCCCTGCTTGCAGATCTGATTCTCCAGCTTTCTTCCTGCCTCTCTGAATTTTAGGTCTAATTGCTATGGGTGAGGGTCTCAACTTCCATGGGTCTAATTTACTCCTTTTCCTGGTGCTAAAACATTTCAGTCGTAGGATCAAAGTTACTTTTGATGTTTGGGGATTAATGATTACAAAAGCTGTGGTGAGACGCTGATGGTCAGTCATGTCTCACTACCTTCCTGTAAGGTTTATCTTGGGACTGGGAAAGACCTCCTTGAACATGGACAGTTTCTTTCTCCAATGGCCAAGAGCAGCGAGATGATCTGGACAGTTTCTGAGACTAAATCCAGGAAAATGGTCTTGCCTGGCATTTCTCTCATAGAAAACTTGCAACAACCTTGTAAGGAAGGCCAGGGTTTCCTTAAGCAACGAAAGCCTGTTTCAGAAAACAGAGCTAAGAATGAATTGCTATCCTTAAAAGTCACCTACTTTCTTTCTGGCCCAGGGGGAAGAGTTGCTGCAGAGAGAACTCCCGCTGTTCCTTCATCTGCAGGGGAGCCTGCAGCAAGACTTTTTGTATTTCTGCACCATCTGCTAAGCAGGAATCAAACAAAGGAGCCGAATTGCTCATCAAACGCCACGAAAACAGTCAAGCATAAATCAGGGATGAGGCTGGGGGAGCAGATTAGCCTTAGACCCCTGTTTTGTGGGTGGGGGGAGGCGGGGGAAGGCTCTCATCAAGATTCCTTGGAGTGCAGGATTAGCAATAGAGGTTGCAGATATTGGGTTATTTTCAATGATGACTTATTGGGACGGCTTTGGTGGTATGTCCCAAAGATGCATTGTTTTGAGAAGGAAGGAAGGAAGGAAGGAAGGAAG